AAACCAGCACTTTGGCAGAGTGTAAGGCCCGGTTGGATTACATCCAACTATTTCACGGCTGCTGATTTTAGCTTTCTTGCTCAATACTGGACATATTCCAAACATGTTTGTCCTATTAATCATTTAGACCCACAGAGATGTGAAACGGTGACCTGGTGTAAAAGCACTGGAATTATCATTTTCCCAGAAAGTCTCCATCTATGTACATTGAAGCCATAGCTGTGCACACCACAGAAGAAAAGTGTCTGTAATACTGGTTTGTATCAAGCAAACAAAGCCAGCTGGCAATGAAAGACAAATTAAAAGCTTGTATAAGAAACGAGAGGCAATTTCCACAGTGATGTCAATGAGCCAGAGCACATTTAGTGTTACTGCGTAAAGCTGACAGATGTGTATATTCTTCCAAAGCTTGACAACTCTTTCTCAGGCACTTTGCCAGAATGTTCAGGCTTTTCCCTACTCCGTCATCTGTCTGAGGAGACGTACAGCTGAACGCTGTCGATATTGTCAGGTTGTGTGGCTCTTTGTTGTGTTTTCAGAAAGGCAACAGCTGTTTGTGCTGAACCCGGCAGATGTTTACTAAATACACTTCTGTAAATAAACCTAAAGTACAGTTAGGGCTGATGGGAATACCATTGGTTTGGTAGGCATTTGGAAAAATCAATGGTTAGACCTGTTTATGGTGCAGGTCTGTCAAACTGGCTATTCATCCAATAGTTGTCAGGACATTTCAAATCTACAGTCAGGCGGGAAACAGAAAAGGTCCTATAGGCTCCATCCTCTGGGGACCATGAATGTGTGCACAAATGTCCTGGTTATCTGTCCGATAGATATTTCAGTCTGAAAGAAGTGATTGATTCATCACTGTCCCCATAGAGTCGTGTCACGAGCATGGCTGAAAACGTTTCGCCATCTCAGACCCAATAAATGCACAATCTGCAGCCACTGCCACTTATCTAGCAAGAGAACATTTAGTTTGATAAACTGACATGTAATGGCATTAACTGCAGGTAATTAAACTAATGCACCTATTATTCCATGGAACGATTGTAAGTTACAATAACAGCTAAAAGTCTTTGTAAATGAATAATTACTACACCGTAAAACCAAGTACGACAGAGACCAGATACAGTTTTTGAGTTTGTTCGTTTGTGCCTCGTTATAACTTGTCTTGTAGCAGTGGAAACTCACTGGCCTCATTAAGATCTGTTCACACTGTGAGTTACCAGACCGCAGGAGGGATTTCTTTTAAATGAGACATCAGCAGGTGAACTCTGACATCGGCCGTGTCGTTTAATACCTGAATTATTGTTCCAGTGAATATAAATCAAATATAATTAAATCCAGGAGATCATGTTTGAATAAAATGTTTGATTGATGAGGTATGACAGATGATACAGTTATAATATAACACAGGCCATGACACTTTTTAAGTTTATGTGATTTCAAGCTTTAAACTTTTTAATTACAGGCCACACACTTTACATATTTTTTAATCCATGTCCAATCTGCAAAATATTGATTCGTCTAATCTATCACATTGATTGTCTAGTCAGCATTTACTTTTTGTGAATGTTGCATTTTTTATAATAAATGTAGTGTTGATCGGTATAAAATGAACACCACCTCATAACAATAATGTAACAAACATAAATTCATGCAGACTGGATTTCACTGGAATGGATTAGAAAGGTTTACGTTGGTTTATTTGCTTAAAATATGATGAAAGTACAACCATGATCTACAGGATGTGATTTTTAACACAGGAAAAAAAAACTCCATCCAGAATCGTCTTCCTGAAGCTGTTCACATGAAAAGTTAAGAGACGTCACACTAGCCATCAAACGACATGTTGGACCCTGTCATAACAAAATATTTACCAGCATCGCAATCATCAGTTTGAGATAACACAACTAAAACATACAGCGACGAAACCGTCCGCTGAAACTTGACATTATCCATTTATTTATCGCTTCATCTTAAGTTGTTGTGCCTCAAACGACGATCACCCAATTATCTTTTGACAGCATGACATTACCTTGGAGATTTATGCGACAGATTGCTGAAAAAGTCGGGCACAGGAGGAGATGGGAAACAGAAAATCAATGGGGCACTGTGGTTTTTTACTGCTCGGAACTTTTAATGTCTGGATTGTGGGGTACTTTGATCTGAGGCCACTGCAACTCATCCATCCATCCTTCCATCCATGTGCATGTATTAATAAGGCTTGTTGTGTGTACTGTATTGAATCTGGCAGAATGTCTGGGTGCGAGGCCTTTTTTTTGGCGCTCGGTCTGCACTGCTCTGGCCAATGCAGTCATTTTATTCTGAGACACACACACACACACACTCACACACACACACACACACACACACACACACACACACACGCATGGACAAAAAGGAAAGTTGAAGGCCGGCCCTTTTTCCCCCTCTTTGGCCATTTCGCCTCTGTGTCTCTCTTTATGTGTCTAAGTCATTTCGGGCCAAGGAGCTCTGCCTCACACTTAGTCATTTCCCTCCAGTCTTTCAGGTGACTGGCTGCTTTGTGCTCCAGGTGGAATTGAGGCCTTATCAGCGGCAGGGCAGGGGCCCAGCGGCCACATCACACAGAATACAACATTTCCTCTAACCGCATGACTGCCCCACATGATTAAACCCAATCTGACCGGCTGTTGTCTGTGCGACTGTACTGTATTTGAGCGTGTGTGGAGGAGAGAGTTAGAGTTTGAGTGTGTTTTATCAGCAGCTTCAAGTCCACAGCAGGGTGATGAGTGTGGGAATGCCACTGACCTGCATGCATTTCTTTAATTTTTGGTGGGAACTGTTTTCATAGCTTCAAGGTTCTTCACCGAAACAAATGCAATCAAATTTAAATTCAGGTGCATCCCACTTGTTTTCAACAGCATCCTAATTTCCCCCATGCTTTATACCAGACTGCCGCAGGCTTGCAGGACAAAAGAACCCGAAATACGTGTGTAGGTGCAAACATAAAGTCGAGAACACTGTGTTTCTATCCTCCGTGCCCTAAATGACTGCAAATGGCTCAGAGTGTCTGTGTTTTTTTTTTAAAAACAAGCTTTGGATGATTAAAAAAAGAGGGGAAAGAAAGGAAAGAGAAGAAATCAATGTTTGTCTCTCCTTAGATAAATGCACGGAGCCAAGCAGTGTAAGGCGGTAAGAGGGTAATCTGTGAAACAACAATACCGTGGGTTGACAGGAGACGCAGTAATCTAGGCTGGACCAGCACCGTCCTTAAACAGAGTGTTCTGTGCCTGAAAGATTACACCGTAAGCTCTGACACCATAATGGCCCCGACACAAACACACACTCGCACCCGCTCGCAAAATTGCCTGGGCCTAGCTGTAGCTCCTTTGACTGTACCCCCCCCCCCCCAACACACACACACACACACGATGAAATCTTGATTGGGAGCCGTGCCAGCAGAATGCATCGATACGAGTCTGATTGAGGTCTGCTGACAACAATGAGCAGGGAGATGGGAAGTGACTGACACCGGAAAAATAAATGAGATGCACTGTGAGGAATCGACGATGGAGGACATGAATAGTGTTTATTTTGTTATATGTGCTGTTTGTCAATCATTCAAGAGTTTATATTCCCGTGGATTCATGTGTTGTTAGTGGATTTGACTGCAGACTCTGATTAGTTTGTTTTCAGAGTAATTATTCATTCAGTCAACCTTTATTTATACTCTATACTGGCTCTGTGATGGCAGAGACTCTTATTTGCATGGGAAGCTTGTTCCATATGACATTTAAAAACTAAAATGTCATAAACAATATTCAACTTCCATGGCCCTCATTTATTTTTCACCCAAACACAACAACAAGCGCAAAAGTAGTGAGTCCTGAGCACATGTTCATCTCCAGGTGCACAAGCTACCATCGGTTCATGTAGTTGTACCAACGAGCTGCACCACTCAAGATGCGTGACTCAACAGCTCAGCAAATGAAAAGTGGCTTCAGGAAATCATATTGTGTGGATGGTGCAGCGTGGCCTGATGTGAACGCACCATGTGAACGCACAGCACCATAAATCTGCAGCCAGAGGCAGATGGTGTGGGTTGTATTTAATTTGTGCAATGATGATAGATATAAAACAAAAATGTAAAAATGTGTAGATGGAATCATTTTTATATCCGCATCAATCTCATGTCGTAATTTCTTATGTTATAATATCATGTTGTGTCTTAAAATGTGACACTGCCACATTTGCATTGTGATGAATTTCAAGAATAAAACATGATATACCACTTTTACTGGAATGGCTGTTGACAGAGCAGGTAATGGCTCACAAAACCAATGATTGATGATCTGCTGTAACCAAGTTTTGGTCAAAAAGAACTATTCAATTTGAAAGTAGATTTAAAGGTAAGAAACAAAATAACTGAATTGAATCCATGAGATTTGTTTTTAGAACATGGGACAAGATGGTGAATATCCCATGTTCTTTTTAAGGTCTTCCATACTAGTTAAGATGATGTTAGCGGATGTGGGGGACACATCTTCAGTTGTGTATCTCAGCGTCAACATCACAAGACAGCCTCTTCTATGAGAATCTTTTCTCTATAAGATATGTTTGCATCATCTGCATAGTACTGATATTGATAATGTTTTAGAGTGTCGGAGAAAACTTCTGGTCAAACTTTCCTTATCTTCATCTATTCATGAGATGGACTTGGTTATACAGTATATGGAATCAAATGGAATCTTTATCTTCTCAGACAGGCACTGTGGCCTTAATTTTCACCATCTTAAAGCAAATGTGCTCCTGTTCCCCTCCACATCGTTCTGTTGATGATCTTCATGCATGTCAAATTTCCTCCACAGTCAATCTGAGCACACCTTTACACTTACACAAATCAGCTCCCAATAGAAGGTCTTCATCTCTGTCTAGATTCTGATTTGTTCCGTTTTACTCTGTAGATTCAGGATGTTCTCTCTTGCTGATGATATTTTATCTGTCTCCTGTAACAGTTTGAAGCGTCTGTGTACGAGGGTTCGACGGGGGTGGTGGTCAACCTCACAGTGGACGACAGAGACGATCCTGCGACGGAGGCTTGGAGGGCCATCTACTCTATCATTAACGGAGATCCTACGCACAGCTTTGAGATCCAAACCAATCCAGACAATAACGAGGGAATGCTGTCTGTTGTCAAGGTAAAGTACAGGAGACCTTCAAATATTTTTATATATCACACTTGACAATATAATCACCCCTCTGTTACCTTTCCCATCATTTCCCCTGCTCAGCCTCTGGACTACGAGGCCACAGCGTTTCACACGCTACTCATCAAAGTAGAGAACGAGGACCCCTTGGTTCCCGATGTCGGCTACGGCCCCAGCTCCACAGCCACCGTCCACGTCACTGTTCTGGATGTCAACGAGGGCCCCGTCTTCTTCCCCGATCCCCTGATAGTCACCAGGATGGAAAACACCCCTGTGGGCAGCTTCGTGGCCTCACTCAACGCTACAGATCCAGACATATTGCAGATCCAGAGCATCAGGTAAGAGACGAAGTGAGACTAATTGAAATTGAGCTGCAAAATTGTAAGAGAGCGAGATGAGGGAAAGCGCGGGAGAGGGCTTGTTTGTGTTGTGTGATTGAACGTCTTCTGCTGTAGCTGGCGGCTCAGTATTGTCAGTAATGAGCTTTCTGATTTTCATTCAGCGTCGCTCTGTGCAGTTGAGCGGCATTATCATTTTCAGTTTTGTTGCGTCGGTGACGTTTGTATTATTCTCGCTGTCGGATGATGCCAGCAAACTGAGTTGGCATGTAGCAACGTGTCAAAGATTTTAGTTGTAACAGTTGTCTCGATGTCTCAAAGTGTCAGTTCTCACCTCTGGTGTGTTTCTGAGCCCTTCATCACTCCATCTATTTTATCTCATCCTGATTCCGCTCCTACATTACTCACCTCCAATGTTCCGGTGGCCTGTTAGGCTGCTTCATGTGTCCGTGTTGTGTAAACAGACTGAATATATCGCCCAGACAATCTGCAATTTACTGACACAGGTCAAAGCGTTCACCCCAGTCAGCTGAAAGTGGGGCAGCTCATTAACTTTGACTGTTGCAGAAAAAGCCCCCTCTCAAATATGACCATCATCATAACAGAGAGGCTATTAGTTTCACTATGTGCAACAATAAAAAACATTTCTCTGGCTGCCAGAGAAAGCAGAAGAGCGTGTACCGCATTTCCTTTTACAAGATGGAAAACTCATCATTGGCTTTCAGGCTTAATTTATACTCAATTTACTTTGCTCTTTTTCTGCTCCCTCGGAATTATATATAATGTAAAAACACAGTTAAGTAAACACATGGGGGATAATAATAACGGAAATAAAACCCACCAGATCGTGACTTTACTGCTCAAATTATTGATGCTGCTTTATCTTCTGTAAAACTGAGTCACTATCAAATGCTACATAACATGGAGTTGTTCGACTGAACATTGGGCAGCAGTCACGACCTGTGGCCGTAAAGCTTTGATAAGCAGCGTCCTGAGATAATGAGTCAGGTCACATAGAAAATTGAAAAAGTCTCGGAGCAGCAAAGTGGTTTCATAAGCAGGTTTTTGTTTTGCTCGAAGGCTTTTTGTGAGAAAGACAAATTAAGATTTTGACATGATAATGGCTCCCGACCAAAAGTTAAGTCATCGACAGTGCTATTACAATTCGTCCCGAGGAGAAAATTAATCTGTGCAAACAAATTTTAATGGAGCTCCGTCCAACTGTTGTTGAATCATTTCTCTCAAAACCAGAGATGTCAACTAGAAGTCAAGGAAGCACCAAAGTTCAGGTTCATCTTCCAATAGTTGCAGATTCATTCATTTGTTGTCTATTCATCTGAATCATAGTCTGTGTTTGAAGATAAATGACATTACAGCTCCCTAAATATGAAGTTTCCTTTTTGCCACCTGATGGTTGGCTGCATTATAGGTAAAATAAACCCTGCCTCCACCATGTTAGCAGATGTGACATGGACCAAACTAAAAATTCACAGTGCATGTTAGGACAAAAAATACTGAAATGTTTTTTAGTTGTTTTTACCACACGATGTTTGCTCAACTGCTTATTTTACCATTTAGTTTGGTTTTCATTAGTTTGTTGACCTTGCAGCCACGGCTCCATCCTCAGATTGCTACTGCACACACTCTGGCTCAAAAGATGGCAGAATGTGTGTCTAGGATATTTTGGCTTCATTTCTCGATCGTGGGAGGAAGTGGAGACACGTTGCACATCTTAATTTGCAGTCTGTGGTCTGTACCCAAAACCACAGTCCATCCTATAGCAGCAGATACTGTGTGTTAGTCTGAATCCACATTGATCCCGTTTGAACAGTCAAATACAATGTAAACATCCAGCCTACTTCTTTTTACGTAAACAGATTTTTGCATTATCTCGGAGCGAGAGGATTTTAAGATGGAAAGTTTTGAGATAGAATTCACTTCTAAATTATTTTCCTTCATTCTGTATTACATCTTGACTTCACCTTGTCGGCTTGTCCTTCAATGATCTGTTCTCAATAACCACTTTCTACGAATGGCACTCCAACAGACAAACTTCCTCCTGATGCAAGACTCAACTTTCAATGTTAAGTTGTCATTGAAGCATCAGTGTGATTAGGTACATGACTCACTCAGGTTGGTTTTTAAGCTATATTGATCACGTAAAGAAGCATCCTCTGAAGATTTAGGTGATATTTAATCTATAGAGCCACAGAGGGCTCCGTCATCTTCCTTCCCACTCTCCTCCTCAGCATACATCTCTTTATTTATTCCATATAGCCTCTGCATTTATTATCATTTCACCCTGTGACATTTTGCCAGTTGCAGTGACTTTGAAGTGTCATAAATGTGACCTGCAGACAGATTGAGGAAATAGAGAAAGACAGAGAGTTGACGAGTTGGAAGTAGAGAGCTGTTGTGCACAGAATTAAATAAGCAAAGAGAAGAGATGTGTTTACCTTCCCATCTCTTCTGCTGCCTGTCTCAGCACAACAGTGTGTGTCTGCGCGTGTGTGTGCGTGTGTCTGCCCCATGGGACGTGCAGGTCAAATGAAACACAATCGGTCTGACTTGCTGGTCAGAGTCAGATGCATCCAGCGCCCAGCCCACACACATACATGACTGTAGGTGTATAAATGTGAGATTTCATTCTTTACATTGTTTCAGCATTAATTTGTGGACTAGTTAGTTAACATTAGTAAATAGGTTTTGAAGAAACATGAGGATGTGAAGAAGCCGGCTGCTCAATTTTTCGAAGTAACTCCATTATGAAACATTTGCTTCACAATGGGCAGCTGAGGCCTATTTGCACAGGACTATTGTTACCTGAGGTCCTCCTGTGAATTGGAACAATGGCAGTGATCATCCTCGTTTTTTAAACCTGTGCGAATCTGCCATGTGTGACATTTCTGGACAGCAGCTCAACTCCACCTCAGACTCAGGGCCCCACTCAGACAGGATTAAAATTCCAGTGGGGAATGAAATGTTTGCCACGCTGCTCTCAAACTGAAATTCATCATTGCAGGTGGCATTTTAGCCAGCGCCAGATTACAGGAGGCACTTCATCATCTATTCCGGAGAAAAATTGTGTGTCCCTCGTCCCCAACAGAACTCACACACATTAACTGAGAGACACTTGCTGCATCACAATTCCATCTTACATTTAATGGACAGAGTTCATGCATCAGCTATTGCAATTTTTGCAGGTGCTGCACACAAATCAACATACTTAACTGTTTGATAGTTTATAGACATCAAAATATTTATCCAAAGAGTCTTTAGGCATTTTTCTATCCTTGTGTGGCTCCCACCACCATCCACCAGCAGTTTAAATGTGTTTCCAGCTGTGAGCAGTGCCATCATTTCCCCTGTGCATTGCAGTGTAGGAGAAAAGTAAGTTTTACTGTGCACACCAGCTTCTTGGAGTATACTTAATCTTGTCACTTTTTCCAATGTGAAGACACTGTGTAAAACCTGATACTTAAAAAGCCCTTCACATTTGTGGGTCACTCCTCTTTTGGTGTTTTCACTAATTTAACTAATTAGAGCTTTTCTCACTTGTGTGTAAGAGGTGATGCTTAACCGACATCTTCACTTTTTTCTGACCCTGAAACCGGCCATTGTTCATTAAAACATTTTTACACCTTCTCCCGCTTCTCGTACTGCGACATTTAAAAATGTCTGCCTACAATAAAGCAGCATCATGACAGCAAATCAATGGCTCAACTGCAAAGAACAAACTCTTTGACAATCTGAGAATAATCAAGAGTAACGTTCATCTGAACGTACTGCGACCTGACTTATCTCATGTTGCAGGTGTGCAGGCAGGTGGTCGTGACAGCAGAGGTCAGGTGACCTTCAGCTGCGGACATGTAGAAGAGAAGTTTCCCAACTTTTCACCCCACAACCCAAAAATACCAGAGTCAAAGACTTATAACCCCCATTATTACAAAAGATTAATTTGAGCAGGTAAAAAATAAATTAGCTTACATACATGTGCTGCAGTGTTACCCGTGTTGCTGTGAATTAACCTGCTGCAGAATCTAGGGTTATTTTGAATTTACCAAGAACATCTTGGGAATCATCTCGTGACCTTCCTTCTGTGTCTCACAACCCCCCCAGGTGTCCCGACCCCTAGTTCTGGAACCACTGATCTATAGGAGCAGGTATGGGATAGCAAAAGGGAGAAAGCAGTGGAGAAGGAGTTAGTTTGACACTTGGCCCAACAGATTTCCACATATCAATATTAATCCCTGCAGTTTCAGTCATACATGTTTTACACAAGAAGGCAGAATTAAGATCAAGCCCTTAGACAACTCGCCACCTCTATGAACATTAATGGAAATGTTCATTAGAGGTGTAATCACTCACATTACGGCAGTAATTGGTTCTATTTGAAGTTGGATACATGCTTTTAAAAGCTGCAATGAGACGGAGCAGGCTGAGCTGTGCAGGCTTCTCATTAGCCTGGATTCAAGCCCACAGCCAAGCAGAACCACGTAGGGTTCAGGGCTGTCTCATTATCCACGTTATTAGACAGCTTTCCTTTACCAATTTTTCTTCACTCTCAATGATGCAGAGAAACAGGTTATTTGCCTGCGAGGGTGCAACATTTCAGCAAATAAATAAATGAAATCTGTTACACTTTGACCTCATCAGAGTCGGAGCTTTGAAGTTGCCCAGACTCTGATGAGCCTCAAACGCTTCCACAGCCATTGATGTTCTCTTCACTTTTTTTTTCATAATGATTTAAAGAGAAGGAGAGGAGACGTATTTTAAATCCTGATTTAAACCCTCACGATGAAAGAAAATGTTGTGCTCACACCAACCACATGATGCAACTATTTATAGAAGTTTATTTTTTAAATGTTGAATAGCATTGATTCAACAGTGTCCAGAGAGAAGAGGAATTATGTTTTTCAATTTACCTTATTTAGCTTAGTCGAGAAAACAATAATAAAAAAAAAACTGAAAAAAAATCTTTGCCTCAAAGTGACCCTGGA